TTAAAAAAAAAAAAAAAAAATGCTTCAAACACGCATCATACGCGATTCCACTTTTTATCGATCTACATCTAACATCTCTCTCTCCTCGAGACCATTTACAGCTTTCATTTTTTTTTTTCTTTTTTTCTTCAATCCTATCGAAAACAGAAGATAAGATATTCCAGCTGATCGATTTATTCGATCCACGGTGTACCACACCTACGCTCGAACTTATATATACGTAGCCATAAAACGTAGCCGTGCAAATTCGTGCATTCGAGAGAGTTTGACGCGCCGTGGTAAAAATTACTCCACCACCGCACAGCTACGTGATGAAAATCCGCAACAAGGCTTACCTAGAGACAGGCATACGTAGAGGGAATCGGCCGTTCGAGAAGAAAAAGATAAAGGAGCGGGTAGAGAGAGAGAGATAGAGGAAGAAAGATGAAGAAAGAGAGAGATACAGAAGCTCGTGGCCACGAGGATGCGGCAGCGTTTTAAAATCGAACGGAAATCCAGTCGAGCCGCGTCCACCGCCATTGCAGCGGTTGCTAATAATAGAGTAGATACTGGAAGGATAGAAATACGACTTCCTCCGCCACTCTGTACCCTACTGCGTCCCAAGAATAACGGGCTCTCGTTCGATACGAGCAGCGAAAATAAGGGGTCAGGGGCGGCAACCTAATTCAAACATTCGATACAGTTAACAACGAGACGAGAAGCCACGCGATTGCACACGGGTTCTTGAGGATAGGATTTATTTAGAGATTCTCTTTTTTTTTTTTACAATTCCATTTATTTCACGAATAATTATCCGTGAGAACAAATGAGAGGTAATTTTACTCGTAGTTAAATTAAATTTAAAATTTTCTATTTTGCTCTTGTCATTTTTCTTCTTGCACGAAGAACTTTGAACCGCTATTAAATTTATTTGTTTCTTTCTTTTTTTGTAATATATCTTTATTTGCAATATATCTTGGAGTGTAAGGGAGAATCCACTTGTTTACACTTTCGCAGAAAATTCATTCACTTAATCGCGATGATAATTCTGTTCGAGCGAGTGACTGTGAAAGCGTATCCTAAACGCGAGGGATCTCCTTAAAAGGCTCGATATCAAAGATACCTACTAACTAGTTAGGATTCCATGCCCCATACGTAAACTGAAACAGACTACTTTCACACAATAGACTTTCAGAGAGAAAACATTCTCTCTGGATTGGATAACTTCCAAACTTAAAGTAATGATTAAACTTTCGCGATCTCGAGTTACGCATAACTATTATGCATAAACAGCTATTCATCATTAATATTATACATATATTAACTGTTTAATTTATTCCTAAATCATTTTTATTTCCAATTCAAAATATAAAACAACAATTCAAACAAACAAGATAAGTATCATCACCTTCTTCTTTTTTTTTTTTTTACTAAAAATATTATAAGAAAATCATCTTTTCTTTAACATTAAAACAATATAAAAATTCACGATAAATATGAATCATTACGTTCTAAAATTCTACGTCCTTTTCAATATTCTGTCAAAAATTTGTTCTAAAAAAAAAATTATTTTAAATACAAAAATTAGAACATCACCATAATGCCATCTTTTATTAAACTCTGAATTGAATAATTTAGAATAACCGAAAGAATTATTTCGCCTTCCACGAGATACCAATTCGATTAACAATTGCACTTTCTGTTGCCTGTAAATTGGGTTAGAGAACATTAGCGGTGAATCAACCCTGCCACTAAACAGCACGTGTCCCTTATCTTGTCCAACAAGCGCAACGACGGGGTATCGCTCGACCCGTGAAGCGTGTGAACTCGTAAAATCAGTGATCCCAAAGCTGTATCATCGATATATCCGATCGTTAAATCATTCTCGTTCAGTGTTTCCTCTCTCTTTCTCTCGCGTTAAAATGCTGCGAAATGTTGAGATTCGTCACTCGATTAATCGCTGTTCGAATTTAATTAATGACGAGTCTAGACAGGTGGTATACACGTTATTAATGATGCGATATTGGCGCGGAGAATGGATAATTATTGCGAGTTCGAAATTATTTATTCATTTATGAAAATTTTAAAAGTGAGAGTGTAAATTATATTTGAGGCGAGGCAATATTTCGTATTGTAAATGCATTTATGAAATGCATGTGTAGTTTTTATCTCTTTAGAAATGAGAAGAAAATTGCAAAAAATTGAATAACGATATATTTTCGACGAACGAACGATTGTAAAATAGAACTTTATTTTTATGGTAAGATGTTATTTTTAATCAATAATTGTTAATAATTTTGTTGTAGTGTAAAATAGTGTTTAAAATAGTTTGAATAAAAGAAAAGTGAAATAATAAAATAATATTGATATAAAGAAAAAGATAGATAAATATTCTCCACATGTAAGTCGAAAAACCTAAGTTAGATCAATATCTACTTCCTACTATGGCTATAAATATAATAGTATAGAATATTCTCCTATATGGTATTAAATATTACAATATTTTGTTATACTCTGTCAATTTAACTTATTACTTTTGAAATAAAAATCAGAAAACAAAGTAATGAAGATATACATTTTACAATTTTAACTATTAAAGAAATAAACTGTTCAAATTTCTCAAAAATTTGATTTGACAAAGAAAATTCAATACATTGTTATTAATATTATTTTCAAATTTTTATTGTTTCCTTAATCGTAATTTAATTCTTAGTTAATTTATTCCCTAACTCGATAATATCAATTTTCTTTAACAATCAACTTAATAAAATTTGAAAGCTTCAACGAGATCGATAAACCGTGATATCAATTATGTAAATGCAACGCGGGGATCGAAACACAGGTTCGTTGGCCGGCAGAAAATTGAAAAGCAAAAGCATGGGTCGCTTGATTTATCGACCGCATATTCCAAACTGACTGAAAATATTTCCTCGGAGAAATTTCCTCTTAGCGGAAGTGTATTGGCCTCGTACTATCAGTTCCATCTCAATATTTTCGTTTTTGTGGACGAAATTTTGAATCAACAAATATCTTCCATATCAATTTTCAAATAACAAAAAAATATACTGCCGATTTTATCAAATTTCCTATTACGTAACGTTGTAAATATTATATTTTAATACAATAAGCTATTATTTATTATCTTTTAATACTTGAATAACATCACATTTATAAAAGTCTGAAAGTATCAGAAACGTCTATGTCATCAGGATAATTTTAATTTATAATTAGATTGCGAATTTTTATGCAAATACTTGATCTCATAAACGTTATAATAAAGTTGCATTTGATTTTTAATTAAATACAATCATAAAAATAAATCGAAAGTATATCATTTACAAATATGACCACGTGGCTCCATCTGCCGATAAGCGAAGAAACTATATATATATATTTTAAATACATTTTAACGTATAAAATTAATTGAGAAAAAATTTTAACGTATTTCAAATTTCCATAAATACACAAACATCCTCGATATTTCTCTACATCTCTTCCCTAAATCCATTTATTTTATTTGTTGCGCTCAATCGAATTATCGGGTATCAAACGAATCATACGTCAAATCTCAACTAAAGAAACGATCGTTTCATCGAATCGTTTCTAAACAGAAATATCTTTCCATCCTCGTTTCCTTCGAAAGAGGAAACCTTTCTTGAAGAAGGCTATCCTCTTCGAATAACCGAAGATAAACGCGACAGACGCGGGGAGACGCATAAAAAGATGAGAAGATTATAACGGTAATATCGAAGGCGATAAAGGAGGGCGCGATTTGTCCGAGAACGAAATTCTCTCCTCCTCCAACTACACCCCTCCCCCCACTTACCTCTTCTACGAAACATCTTTGCTGCTGCATATTGGTCCAGCACACTTTGCACTGGCACACGTCCTTCTCTTTGAA